ATCTAACGTGCCCAATATTTTTTTACGTGCACATTAATTTGTGAAAAGAACTTGCAGATGATGCCAAACAAGAAACATCGTGCTATTTTTTATCGTGAGAATCTAAACATAATTATTCTAGACATAAAAAAGTGGGGGAAGGAAGCTGCATCAATTTAAAAATCGTGTTTAGGTGAAAATTAAGAAACCAACAAGTGGCTAATGCCAATTAAATAAGTTATTTTACTATTAATTTCTTAAAAACAAAAACTTAGTGGGTCTGCTCTATTTTAAACTAGAAAATGAACTTACTTTTACTTGTCTAAAAAAGATTATTAAATTATTTTTTTTCAATCTTTTAATAATGTGCAACAGAGATGCATGTGCATACATAAATTTTAATAATGTTAACACTTTCCATTCATGCGGATGCATGCCATTGAATTTGGGGTTGGAGATCAAAATGGATCATACCCCTTTGTTTCACTTTACAGTCTGATCTACTTATTACTATGGAACGGAGTCATTGTTTTTAAAATTACTGTAATATTCTTCTCCATTCAATATCTCCATTGAGATATGGAGTTCGAGATCCGAGAACGGTTTATAGAACTCTTTGACCCCATTTTGGAGTATCCCCAAATCAAAGAACTTTCATTACAAAGTCTTGACAAATGATGATTTAAATGATAATCAACACCGGAGAACTACAAAAAGATCGGGTAAAAAAGAGGTTCATAATTAAAAATGATAAGAGTTCTCGTAAAATCAAAAAAATATAACAAGAGCGATTTTTAGCAAAATTTGTACCGTTATACAGTGTTAGCAACCGTACTTATTGACCAAATTGTAGCAAAATTGCACATGTACCCTTTTGACATTTAATTCATTCTACTTGAGAGAGGACCATTTATGTTCATTAGTCAATATTACGTCAGCAAAGGGACCAACCTACATTTCCAACGGTCAAAATTTTACTTAAAATCTTGTAAAAATCGCACCCAGATGGGGCATACTGGAATTGATCCCTTCATGGCTCCATATGGCCTAGAAACAATATATGATTACTTGAAATGGTATATTTGGTGGAGTAGATTAAATAGTACTAGACAATATTAAAAAAAAAAAAATTATTGTACTGTCCCCCTTCAAACATGCACCAAATGTACAAGGGATCCATTATGCTACACAAGGGAGTAGATTTACACATGTAGTCTGTAGAATGTTTAAAAGCCTA